GAAAATATATTATATATATATATATATATATTTATATATATATATATTTTCAGGTGTACTTTATTCAAATTCAAAGCAGTGACTGACAACCAGCCAAAGGCTGAAACCGTAGTCTTACATTATTAGAATACCAGTATGCCTACACTGTAATACATCAAGAGAAAAATACAGAAAAAAAAACAACCTACTATTTATTTTTTTATAATTTTGGCCAACAGATGACAATTTAAATCGCTCAGATCTGCCAAAATTAATCTCAAGTAAAGGGTGGGATCGAAGATCCATGCCAAGTTGGTGACAAGGAGGGAGCATGTTTCGAAATATATCAGAGGCAAAAGGTTCTTACCACACGACAACAACAGATGCTCCCTCCTCGTCGACAGCGATGGAAGACCAGTGGTCTCGCATACCTCATCATATGTTCCATCTGGTCCCAAATTATTTTAAGATAGAGCTTCTGAGTTCTTTTAATGGCACAAGACAGGGATATTCTAATAACTATAATATTGTTGCATACAGCTTTAACTCCTTTAAAATACAAGTAATTTTAATTAATATAATGGTAAAAGTATTGAAATGAGAGTGAAAATGAAAAGCTTCCACTTCCTCATTTTCAAGATCTGAATTTCAATTATGATGACCTCTTGCTGCTGAGATGGACACTCACTTTACTTAAATATATCATAGTAGACCATCATTAAAATGTAAACTGTTTATGGACAAACATGTCCATACACAGACCTCCCAGACTCCAACAGATAAAGATCTTATGTATCTATATACATGTGTACCTAGATACTGTATTACAGCTAGACACACCTCACACCTTAATAGGAAACACACAATTATTATATACCATGATATGTAAGCCCAAATATTGAGATATGTAAACCCATATACGTACACCAAGATACACTGAGGCCCACCCAGACACATACACATTAATTTTATTTTATAATTATGTTTTGTAGGTGCTCTAGGAAAAAGGACCAAATTTCAACAGACAAATTGTGCACAATTAATTGTAAAGGTTGAAAAACATGGCGACGTTGCTGAAAAGTCATTTTCAAGGTTGTCTGAAGATGCTAAATCACTCGTTAAACAGCATCTACCTAAGGTTATTTTCATTTTTATCATTTTACATTATAGTTTATTTATGTCTATGTTGAATTGATATTGTAATACTATTCATTTTCAAATATAGAGTTGACAAAGATTTAGTGGATTTCACCCCATATTTTCTTGTGTGCAAAGTTTCATTCTTTCTGTAACTTTGAGAATTACTAGAAATTGGCATAACAGAAATATTTGAATATTATTTTATTATTATTATTATTATTTATTTATAAGAACCAGACAATTTCTTTTTATGTAATATTCTTTTACTATCTGTACTTTACCATTACTGACTTCCAAATTACTGTACTAATTTCCAGATAAATCCATTTTGCAATGTATAAATACATAACATTTAACCTTTAATCTTGTTCATAATTATTTGTTGCATTATTGATATTATATTTGTTTTTTAAAGGATCTTCAGCTAGATGACGATGTAATTTTAGAACATGTTAAACTGCTTGAGCGAAGTGAATCTGAGTCTCCAAGTCTTACAGCATTAGAGCAAGCTATCATCCTCGCCCTCTTGTGAGTCACTAGTTAGGTCTTCTGAATCTAATACTAGGAAACTTGTTTAGGAGGAATTTAAACAACTAGTTATTCTAAGAAATCACTCATGATTCTTGATATGAATAATGTAGTATACAAAATTTTAGAAAATCAAATCAATAACAGAAGAATTAATGTATGTAATGCTAATACACTGCATATGGCAGAGATATTCATAATTACGTTTTCAAAAAAAGGCACAAAACAACCGTTGCTGCTAAAAAAACTTTTGTAGTCGTTGCCTATATGCAGGGGTGGTGCAAGCCCCACCAGGTATTCCATCGTTGCCCCGACAGATGGGCCATATTCCACACCGTGTTTCATTTACCTCCAACATATTTTTACCATGGCTCCCCGATGGCTAGGTCAGGCCTTCCCAGGTTTAGCCAGAATTCGGGAGGTTTGGCTGCCCATAATTTAAGGTGGAGAGGGTGTGACCATACTGAAAATCATTCCCATGAACTATAATTTCATCTATTTTTAGATCAGTAGCCCAATAGCACAGGTATTTTATGCAATTTAATAGACGTGTATGCCATTTATTTTAATTTTTCAGTGCTGAGCACAAAAGGAATAGTGCCAAATTTGAACTGCTGAAGGAAGAACTATCTGCATATATTGAAGTGAGCAATTTCTGTTTACGACTTTGTTTTGCCCAAGTGCTACCTATCTACCTAGTCTTGTAATACTATAGATATTATTTAATATGCATATTTTCCATATATAAAGCACTTTTTAAGCTTTGATTATATTCATTTAATATATTAATGATGAATTTTATCTCAGTTGTTTCCATTTTGTAGCCAAAGATGTTTGAATTATACCTAGTGTAAAGAAGGGATTTTCATTCCCAATGTCTTTATCATACTTTGCTTCAATCTTTAGAATATCGTAGCTCAGCCACAGTGTTGGGGTGCACAGTTGAAGGCGTTGATGGCTCGCTCCTTATTGGAGAAAGACAAGGGAAGGAAAATTGAGAGAGCTATGATGCAGATGGAGGTATCTTATGCCATATGTTTTTAACTAACGAATGCTATCGTGTTGGATAATTTTTACCAGTTACATTGGACTTATTTTTTAATAGTTAGCCCGGTTTACATTAAACTTACCCCCAACTTACTAGATACTTTAAAAACAAAAGGTAATCTAATGCAGCTTTCAGCAAAGTTTTTGACTGATAACCCAGTTTGACCCTGATAGGAATTGCAACCCACTGACCCCCTTTTCCACACAATTAAATGTATGTCGTAAAAAGATTTCCACAAATAGTCAGCAGTCCAGCTGATTCATTGGCTGTGCCTGTGTTACATTTGTGGTAGAGCAACATCTCTTTGGTTCTTGTGATTGGATCAACTGTTCTAGTTTTTCTCAATCACTGTCATGAACCTTGGGATGCAGTTTCTGGGAGTTGATCCAGGATGTTTAATCATCCATCCTATGTCATAGTTCAGTAACTGACAGTCACAGTAATAACACCTGGAATATCTATTTTCCAGGTGGGTTTCTACCTTAAGAGAGCAGTGTAGCTCAGTCGGCTAAATTGGTGGTACCCACTATGTGCGGCACACTGTGGAGTCTATCGTTAACCTTCTATCGTTAACCTTTGGTACCCTGTTCAGTTCCATCCACTGCTCTTCTTGTGTTTCAGCTTGAGTGCTAAAATGCATGTATAAAAAAAATCACTGTTAGATTTCGTAGGGCCCATGTGCTTGTGAAAGGTCAGGGTACATTCTTTTTAGAAAAGAGTACAGTACATGATTATCTCCTGCTGTGCTGCCTAATCCACACCAGAAGGAGATCACTGGAGATAGATCTTCAGATTTGTAAGGGTTATCCTTGGTGTTCACATGGAATAAATATATCCAATCTAATCCACCCTTGGATGACTTGATTTTAAGTATATAAATATATGTAAATGTCTTCTTTCAGGTGTTGGTAAATGAACTGAAGCAGGATAAGTGTCCAGTCAGCGTTCGATTCCATCAATTCTATGCTCTTAATCTACCACCAAAGTGGGTGGTAGAGGTATGTTGGCAACTTTTAAAATCTACATTTATTCTTGTATATATTAGTAAATAGCTATTACGCGATTCACAAAAGGCAAACTGTTATATTTTATAATAATGCATTGTTCTCATTTGTTAAAATTTTTCCACTATACAAATTTTTCCTTTTATCCAACTTTACATTTTCCAGGGTGAATTTGCGAGTCTATTGTACAGTTTAGGATCAACAAGTGCTGCACTGCAAATCTACCTAAGACTTAATCTGTGGGAGGATGCTGTCCATTGTTACCAGAGACTTGATAAACTTGATAAGGTGATGAGAAAAGAAAAAAAATAATGATGAAATCAAAATAATAATACAAAATGGTTAAATAATTTAATTGGTTTTCAAAATTTATACACTAATGCAACATATATTTAATATAAGTAAGTACAGTTTGCCCTTTTGTTATTTTTTCTAGGCCGAACGATTAATACAGGAGCAACTCTCAATCAAGGAGACACCACTCATGCTGTGTCTGCTTGGGGAAGTGACTAGGAAACCTGAGTACTACTTGAAGGCCTGGGAGGTGTCCAATCAGACGAGCGCTAGAGCTCAAAGGTCACTGGGGAGACTGTATCTCGATGAGAAAAAATATGAAGAGAGCATTCAGTGTTTTGAGAAGTCTCTGGAGAGGAACTCGCTGCAAGTAAGTAGAAGTTTTTAAACAGACTGCAGTTCTGTAGTAACTTACATTGGCGGATGGAAGGTGGGGCTATCAATGACTGCAACCCACATTCAGTGTATCCATGAATAGTCAACAGTCCAGCCCATTCATTGGCTGTGCCTGTGTTACATTTGTGGTAGAGCAACATCCCTATGGTTCCTGTGATTGGTTCAACTGTTCTAGTTATTCTTAATCACTGTTATGGACCTTGGGATGCAGTTTCTGAGAGTTGATCCAGGATGTTTACTCTTCCATCCTAGGTCATAGTTCAGGACCAGACAATAGTTTCCATTAATGTTTAGAAAGGAATTTGCCAATAATACTATTGTAACACTCTATTGAAGCCTGTATTATGCACCTTTCCACTAAGCACTGCATCTTCGATCACACAAAACAATAGCATAAAATGTAAGTAAGTTTGTGGGTCAACACATGTGTTTGTTGGACACGTGTGTATTCCTGGCTCAGTTCTGGTCGGTCATTTGTTAAGTTTGATTGGTTCACACTGGAAAAGTCCATTAACCACTCCCTGTTCAGTCATGTTTTTTTAAATAATTGACAAAGTGCATTAAAAAACGCAAACCTCACCCCTTCGATATTGTTGTGAAGGTCCACACAAAACAACAGTGTAAAAACATACATGTTTACACATACAGTACGTGTGCATTTGTAGGACAACTTGTGTGTTTGTGAGATGCACATATTCCTAGTCCTTTCCTGATTGTCAGTTGTTAAGTTCAATTAAAGCTACGTTCACATCAAGCCCGGATTCCGGTCCGGAGTCCGGAGAAAAAATCTTGAAAAATGGGTTCAGTGGTAAAAAATAGGACCGTTCACATCAAATTCATACGATTTTCAATCCAGCCTCCGTATCTGGACCGATGTATCTGAGAGCAATTTGTATCCTGAAATCGTACGTTTTTGTTTTTTTTCTTGGACCAATCAGCAACAAGCTTGGTTCATTCGAACCAATCAAACGCATACATACTTAATGCGAACAACTGTGTTCCGTGCGAGATGTGAACACAGCATTCAAAAACCGTAGCAACTCACAGTTTTTTTGTCTGGGCTCCGGACCGGATCCAGGCTTGATGTGAACGTGAACGATGTGAACACTGTGAAAAGGTCCATTATATGTTTATGCCTGAGAGTGGTTGCATTTTGATCTCTCAATATCAAATTTGAATCCCAGTCTTTTGTTGAGAGATCAGGCATAGTCCATGAATTAATTATAAACCTTTTCTCTTCTTTCAGTACAATACTTGGTTTCTTCTTGGGTTTGCAGCCATCAAATCGGAGCAGCATAGAGTGGCCATAAGGGCCTATAGGAAATGTGTTACTATAGAAGTAGATGTAAGTTGTTAATGAAAATCAATGCCAGATACATTTATAGTGCCATAAATAAACAATATTTAAGATAAGTAGACGAACCAGCCCAACCCTTTGCATAATTAACAAATGCTTTTTTGACAGTTAATTCAGTGCTATAGAAATAAGGTTGGAAGCAGTTTGCTTGTGTCCTTAAGCATGTCACTTTCTGTTTTGCTTCTGTCTACCCATGAGTATAAATGGGTACCTGGTGGGGGGTTGCCTGCTACTGCACCAATATGGCAGCAACACTTAAGCATGCAGAGGCAATGACCAGTTACAACAAAGTGCATCATACTCTAACTTAAGTCCTGTCCAGACTATAAGATTGTATTTGACAAAAACATGTGACATGCCTAAATATGGTCATGATGACATCACATCATGACCATATATAGGCACATCATGACTATATATGGGCATACAAAAGTACTTTTTGAAATAAAAATTTATAGTCCGGACAGGGCTTTGTAGAAAAGATGCTATATAGATACTCAAGAACAAATAAACAAATTTTAAAATGTGCACAAAAAATGTCAATGGTTATATTTTTGTTTTCAGAATTTTGAAGCCTGGAACAACCTTGCACATTCCCATATAAAATTGAAAGAAAAGTAAGTAATCTGCATAGAATAATAATAATAATGATAATAATAAATGGGATTTGTATGTTATCCATGAATAGTCAGCAGTCCAGCTCATTCATTGGCTGTGCCTGTGTTACATTTGTGGTAGAGCAATGTCTCTTTCGTTCTTGTGATTGGTTCAACTGTTCTAGTTTTTCTCAATCACTTTGATGAACCTTGGGATGCAGTTTCTGAGAGTTGATCCAGGATGATTACTCAAACATCTAGGTCATAGTTCAGCAACTGACAAGCAGAAATTATGTGTGTGCCATTTACTAATGAATTGATAGGTTGGTTGGTTAGGTTGGTTGGTTGATTGTTTAGTTGGTTGATAGTTTAGTTGGTTGATTGTTTAGTTGGTTAGTTCATTGGTTGATTTATTGAAGTTTAATAGATCTAAACATAGCTATTGTATTTGATATGTTTATAAAGTTCATATATTTATGTTGCTTGTTTTGTAATTTTTTTATTTGTAGGCCATATTGCTTTCCTAATCTGGTTTTTAAAGGAAATGACAGTGCTCCAATTATCAGATAATAAATTAAAGGTTTTTTTTTTCTGTAGGGATAAAGCTCATATGACACTACAAGAAGCCATCAAGTGTAATTATGAAAGTGCAAAAGTTTGGGAAAACTTCCTATTTGTAAGTAGGGTTTAATGAAATTTATATCGATATAAAAGGTATATGAAAAGGTATCCATATTGCAATGTAATAACAGGGAAAATTGAAGCTAATGTTTCAAAGTTGATTGTAAAGTCTTATTAATGTTAGCACCATGGTTCAAATTTCCTGACAGCATAGCCAGCCTTTCCTGACAATACTGAAGGGTCTTTCACAGCTCAACAGCTATTTTACTGTCAAATTGACTAACCCAGGCTGGTAGAAGAATAGATTGTTGCAGTAAGAATAAACCACAAAACCATGTAAGCAATACAAAAATTGAATGCTACATAGATTCAAGAATGAAACAAATTTATGAACTACTTTTTTTCTCATAGGTAGCGATAGATGTTGGAGATTTTCAGGGCAGCATACGGGCATACCACAGGTTACTAGATTTCCAAGAAAAATACACAGATGTAGAAATTTTAAATATCTTGGTCACAGCTGTTGTTGAAGACCTCTTAGACAAAGGTGGCATTCCAGGTTCGTTTATGATAGTTGCTTTTTAAAATTGTCATATAGAAATGCAAATAGAAGCCATTAATATGATTTACTTGTTAGATAGAATCATTCCAGGTTAGAACTAAGTATAATTGTTCTGATTGGCCAGTTTTTTTAAAGTTTAAATTGACACTCCAGTAAAAATGCATTAGCTGCACCAGTCACCTGCCAGGGTCGAGATGAGTGACTTTCAGGCTTAGTTTAATGAGTTGTACACATCTTATTGTATTTGGCAGTGGGTGGTGTGCGAGAGACAGTGCCGATGTCTAGGAGACTCCTGCAATGAGTGGGAGGCTTGGGCCCCTTGAATTACAAGTTCCATGACATCTTCAAAACTATAGGTCATTTTTCTATTGTGTCTAATAACTTTTACTGTATAGCATTTTTTTTTTGTGTATCTATATTTTAGCCTCACAATTCAGGAAGAAACTTCTTGAGCTATTTGGTCGTTTAACGTCAACTGTCACAGGTAATGCCGAGGTGTGGCGGTCATACGCAAGACTGTTAGGTGACTGCAATTCAACAGACCAAATGGACAATGACAAGGTAAGAGCAGTTGTCAATGAAGGATAATTGTATCTTATGCATCTGTATCTGGTTGCTATGTTTGACCGTCTGGAATAGGCTGTCCCAAACTTGAAGTTAACTTGTCCAAATGTGTTTGTGTTTGGAGTTTGTTTGCAGTAATTATAGCATGCAGTTTAAGCATACATATGCCTCAAGAATATAAGAATTGTTTTTCAGTGGTGTACTTGTGGTGAATTGAGCAGTACACTGGGGAAACAATTAATCCCCTACTCATTCGAAGTGTGTATTGCATTCTTTAACATGCATGGGGCCATATTGCACCAAGACAATTCAAGAAAAGCTCGCTTATCTCGGGACATCAAAGGTTTTAACTCTGGCATTGACATTCTATGCTTCGCACACTCGTACTTGCTTTTGAAAGTCAATATCCTTTTGTGTGTACTGTACATTATATCGGTGTAAAATCTAAATGTTACAAATATGTTTTGAATGAATTTTTTAGGCAGTACAGTGCCTTCAAAAATCGCATCGGTCAAGAACGCAGACCACTGATTGGTCTAAAGAAGTAGAGTCTTGCAAAAAGATAATGGAACAGTCCATTGAGCTTGCTAAAGGTAAGCATATCGTCTGAATAAAAAACTGTGTATAGAGCATAAATTCTAATTGTAACATCTGTGATGAAAAGAAAATCTGTGAACGCAACAGCCCATAGATTTTTCTAAATTTACACATCAAATATGCCTAATTAATTTTGATTATCTATTATTAAATATATGCAATTCAGGATGAGGAAAGCTGGCCCTCTATAATTATTTTAAATTATTTTTAAAATGGACAAAAAAAAAGAAAACTATATTGAAATTTTAGGCCTGAGAGTGCCATTTCAGACCATCTGGAGGTGCCATAAATTTTCAGCTGAACCATGGATGGCTTAAGGTGGTCTGGACTACTGTGAAAATCCCTCTCTGGGGCCCCTCTATTTCAAATTCCTTGATCCGCCACTGTTAACAGATGTGTATTGTACAATACATTGTAAAATATCCTTTAACAAGAAAATCCTCTCTCAATTGGTTGGATTATCGAATGCTCTGAAGTTTCTTGGTTTCGAATCCTAATGTGTTTTAAAATACACTTGAGATATGTGCTATATATCAGTGTTATCAAAAATTAAATTAATGAATTTCAAATTTCAATTAATTTTGTTATTTTGCAGCATACCAATTAGTCAGTGGAGCCAAAAGTAGTCAAGTAGAAGCAATCCAGTTGCTATCATCGGCAAAACTCATGCTCAAGTCAGTTGTCAGTAATACCAAGGTAAATACTTTCACTTAATTACTCCACCAAAAGAGGTTACGTATTGTTGGAGCTTTCTCTCTATTAGGAGGATTAGGCAAAAAAATAGGGAATGGATCATCATAAAATTTAGTGGAGTGGTACATAATAATATAAGGAAGAGTTAGGTTTTTGGGAAGGAAATGCCGATGTAAAGGGTTAAGGTCGCAGAAATTTAATTTTTTTACCACTCTGCATATAAGAATATATGGAGTTAATTTGCATATGCTTGACCAGGAATACTGGTTAAACTTCAAACCCACCCAGTAGTGACACATGTTCTAATGGTAACTCACCTAAAAAGTTCATCTGTAATAATGACTTACCACTACATAACACAGTGGAGTTACTATCAGAAAGCCAAACCATACGCGATTTGTTTTGATTATAATAGAAGATATTTAACAATTTTACTTGCATAGTTTTATTAATGTGAGGTTTTGTCACAAGAAATATGGATGGGTTAATATTTTCCAATGCCTAATTTATACTTGAATAATAATGACCCAGTACTGTATTAGTTACCTAGTACTCTATTTGCAAACACTTTTTTTTAATTATCTTTTTAGTTACATCATGGTCAGTTTGAGAATGAATCAACCACAGAGATGTCTGGCCTTCAATCCCAACTGGAACAGGAATTACAAAACGTGATTGCAATGATAAACATAAGAAAGGAGCAGGTTTGAGTGATGTAGGCAGAATTAAAATATTACAACCCCATTTTTAGCTCCAATTAGAAGCTCTTGGAATACCTGGCTGTTTTATTAATATGTCTTTTTTGTATGGGCGGCCGTTATGGCCAATTATTTTTATTATTATCTAAAAACACTTGGCTAAACCTCACTTCTTATTGATGTTGTTGTTACACATAAACTAGATGTGATTTCCAACAAACGTTCATGGCCCTTTTTTTAAGTTTGACCCTAGGGTGCCCCATACACATACAAAACAAAATAGGGGTTCAACAAGGACTGTACATTACTGTCATTCCCACAAATAACACAGATCATATTAATGGCGCGGTCGCTTAACGAAGTGTTCTAAGGAGCCAAAGTCGTAAGTTTGAATCGCGTCTTAGTATTAAATTTTTATTATTATTTTTTTAATTTTAAGGCATTTAATTTTTTCAATTTCAAGTCATTTTAATTTTGTACAAATGAACATTCTAATAATTTAAAAAATTCTATCTTATTAGCTCTTCCAAATTTTTGGTCAACCAGCTCTCAAATACCTCCATTTATACAAAAAAAAAAAATTTAACACTGAATAGAGGTAACCTCTGTTTAACACGCGGGCAGGCGAGCGGTCGCTCTTATTTGTATGAGTGGCCGTTAGGGCCAATTATTATTATTATTATTATCTCCGATGAGAAGCTATAGAAGCAATTGCCTGATTGATTAATAGATCTTTTTACCTCCGATGAGAAGCTCTAGGAATTCCCTGCTGATTGATTGATCTTTTTTGCTGATTGATTATTAGATCTTTTTCGTATGGGCGGCCATTAGGGCCAATATATTCTATCGCCTCATTATACTGCCCTCAACAGAGCTTTCGAGATTACGAGAACTTGTTATTTCCATGTTAGTAGTTATATATTAGAATGTTATTTGTAAGAGTTTTTGAGTACAACTGTTAATAAATGAGTCGGACTCTGAAATCTAGAACACTATTTCTTTAATCAATCTCCAAACATGCCAATGGGTATGTGAGTAGCGCGTATCAGTAACATGTACTCTATTTATTTATTTCTTTAAAACCAAAACCAACAGCAAAATAAATTCGCCAATAATAGGAGGGTTATTTGTATGAGCCTACATGTAAAGCAGGGTCCATATATTAACAGCCACATAAATGTAATTTCTTTATTCAATCTCCAAACATGCCAATTGGTATGTGAGTAGCACCAAGGTAATTTAACAAAAGGACGCACATCTCCGCTCTCGAACATAGCGCGTGCGTACAGTCCTTTGATCTTTACTGTGGCATCGACAATCCGATACTA